TAGTGCCAACGTTTAACGCCTCCACGTCCCCTTGGTCCCAGGTAGGATCGCTCCAGCTCGCGGCAGCGGACATCTGATTTGCATTCTGATTGATGAGAACATCGTTGGTCAGGTCGGTGATATGGGTGGCACGACTGTTCGTGCTTCTGTGTAAATAAGAATCGTACCTCCGTCGGGGTACCTCGGCATTGGCATCCGTTGCCGTCAGGTACACGAAGCTGGAGTTGTGCCTCTCCCCCCTGCGCTGGCCATGTGCCAGACCGATCTGAGCGACCAGTTCGCCGGTCTCCCCACTGCCACTGGTGCTGGGATTGGCGCTGCCCAGCACCGCCGGACTCGGCGATTCCTGAGGATGAGGCGACGCCTTCTTGTTGGGCACTGGCCGAGCCAGGGTCTGACCACGGCGGCTGAGTCCTGCGACGCGAGGCAGAAAATTCCTCTTTGGCTGGCCAGCGGGTGGATGTGAAGCAGGTGCCGGATAGGGCGCAGCCGCAGCAGATCGGGCTGATGCGTGACTTCGTCCGAACGTGGATGGGAATTGAAATTGGTAAGCCTACTGCTCATTTGGTTTTGAAACAGTCAGAGACTTAAACATTTTTAAACGATTGAAATTAAAAAAAATAAAAACTTCCGTGCTGGTCAAAAATCAGTGTTAGAATGAAATATTGCCCAGCCTCAAATCAAACGATACGAACAGAAAAGTAAATGCTAACTAGATGAAATACTTTTCAATGCAAGTAAAACACATGCAAAATCTATTGATTTTTGTCAGTTTATGTTTTGGTAGAATTTTTGTATTTTCTTTTAAATTGAAAGCAGCAGAACGCCACACTTCTGACTTCGAAGTCTCAGCAACTTCTGATAGATACGCCTGAAGGTAATCCACTGACTGTATTTCACTCATATGCCTCAGAAAGCAGCACAGAAAAGCTCTAAAACAACTCATAGAGAGTGTGAAATTATCTACCTATAATACCTATAATACCTATAATACATATATTCAGAACACTCCCCGCTCTGCTCTGCTCTGATCTGATGAGCGGAGGAAAATTTCTGAAAATTAAACTGCTTTTTGCTTGTTCCAGTGAAGGCTTTTATTTTATTTTTTTGGTTTATTGGATTGCATTTCATTTCTTGGCGACTTCTTGGCGGTCTTCAGGTATTTTCTTCTTGTGCTATTTTGCTATTTTTATACAAGTACTCAAAAAAGAGTTAAGGGGTATATTAGATTTGTGGTAAAAGTGGATGTGTGCAACGCAGAGAAAGAAAAAACGTTTCCGACCCCATAAAGTATATGTATATATTCTTGATCAGCATCAATAGCCGAGTCGATATAGCCATGTCTGTCTGTCTGTCCGTCTTGTTGAGCGCCTAGATCTATAAGACTATAAAAGCTAGGGCAACCAAATTTGGTTTCCAGACTCATGTGATATCACACTGTTACACTGTTCTCGCTCGCAAACTCTGCAGGAGCGGAGGAGATGTAGAATCTAAATGGTACATGTACAATCTACATGTTAGATGTAGAATATACATTGTATATGTATATGTAGATATTAGATAATGTAGATCTTAAATTCTAAAACATCATATGCTCAAAAATGTATATACTGACTGAGTACGGGTATAAGTAGAGTCGCGTCCCCAGAAGCGACTCACACGTTCCTTCTCGTTTAATATAGTTATAGCACAGGGAATCCACCCACACGCGTCCCTTCCCCTGTTGACCAGACCACAGAAGCGCATCAAAAAGGTGCCAACGCAAAGACAAAACCATAAAAATTAATTATGTTTTTTGTTGTGCAGCAAAGCAAAAGAGAAATGTGTGCAGGAGCAAGAGGAAACTGCTGGAAAAACGAAGGGAAAATAAAGAAAGAAGAGCAGGAAAAATTGAGCAACAAGAGGGAAAAATAGTGTAGGAATAAGCTAAGCGAAGAAAAGACAAGCTCGGGGACAACAGTGAAGTGAAGTTGAGACCGACCGATGCATGAGGAAATTGTGTTGAACTTGCCAAGCGTTTATTGTATAAATTTCCAGCATTCTCTTCCTCCACACACACAGAGAGATGCACTCTCCAGAGACAGAGAGAGAAAAAGAGACAGAGAGGGAGATAGAGAGACATGCCATCACAGGGACAGAGAACCATGCGGCAGCCATGGCATCCATCCCGCATGGCCCTTTGGCAGGGGGGCACGGGCAAAACGCAGCTGGTGGTTGCCGCTTCCGGCTAACTCATGCATTTTTCACCAGCAACCAACAGCAGCAACAGCAACAGCAACAGCATCCAAGAGCAACAGTGTTGCACTGAAAAAACCATCAACATCCACAAGTTGAGGCACAAACAATGGCGCGAAGGAATGACAACAGCTTTATGGTTAATTGCCAGCGACAGGCAGCCGCCACTCTCAGCTGGTAGCTCCATGGGGAATGCCTCTCTAAACTTAAAGTCATTTGCCCTGACTGTATCCATATGTAAGTCAAGGAAATAAAATAATTTACCCATTCTTTGATCTGATTTGAAGCTGCCAATCCTGGCAGACGGGCTGTCAATGCCACATCTCCATTGAACCGAGTGAACCGAATGTTAATGAAGCCCGACAGTTAGGTGGCAACACACTTCACACTCTGTTTCTCCCGTGTGCCACAGGCCACTGGTCGGTCTGTTTCTGGCAGCTGAAATACCAGTCCCAAGTTTACCAGCTGCCAATACTGTTAATTAAGCGCCAGGGCAGTGTTTAATTGAGTTTTAAATGCGCAGACAACTAATTAACATGAAGCCAAAAAGCCAAGGCCGAATTTCTGCAGACGTCAGTGTCAACGACACCAAATGGAACGAGCATTGAATATTATTCAAATGAGCCATGAATAACTGCTGTGCTGGGCTGTCCCCTTTAAAAAGGATTTTCAAATGGCTTTTGGCCTCGAGATATTTTCCGCCAGCAAACCGCCACCAGATCAGGCATCAAATAAACAACAAAGGATACTCGTATACCCCAAGGGGCATGCCAAACATTTTTTTTCTTTGTAAATTGTTTATTGAAAAATTGCTTAGCCCACCCCTCCCATCAAAATCGATTGCCGAGATGTCGATGCAAAATGACTGCAGGACCAAAGCAGGAACAAAAAATAAAGAAAATCCCTCTGAAATTTGAGAGGGGAGGCAGCAGAAGATACGTATATCTATGGCCTAGTGCGGTGCTGAAAAATCCATTAGCTTGAATTGATTTTTCGGTTTGCTTTTCAATCAAATTAAATCCGTGCGCCTGCTGCCGATTCCGCTGCCTGGTGCTAGTGCTGGTGGCTGGAAAAATGTTGACGACCCATTTGACCATCAATCATGATCCGGCAGAGTCTTTTGTGTGGCTGGCAACATATCCGTAAAATGGAATGAAACAAAATAAATCATTTAAATTAATGCCAAATTGGACAATGCATAATATGCCGAACAATCGAGGGAGAGCGGTGAAAAAAAGAGGGAGCGCGCGATAAAAAATCGTGAAAATGTATACAATGCATATACATATTTGACAGCCTTTCAATATCACTGTGCAACAATATTTTTATACACCTAAAAAACACGCAGCGACAGACACGCACTTAAAGGCATGAAAAAAGCTTTTAAAATGAAAATTTACATTGAATCATTTTCGAAAAGAGGAAAAATCCCCGTTGAGAGTGAACTAACTAAATAACAGGCTGCGAAAAGGAAATCTGCGCATATTGGTCATTAATAAAAGTTTCCGTTTTTTTTTTCCATATCAATACAAAAAGCAAATATTGATAAACAAAAAATGAATACAGCTTACGGTTTCAAAGTGGGGATGTGGCCAGAGCACTGCGATGGGGCGGGGAAACACTGAAAAGAGACGAGCGGCAAAGAGAAAAATATATAAATAAATAAAGCGTGTGTGAAAAGGCAACAATAAAGCACGGGGCCCAGGGACCCGAGAGACGCGAGAGAGATCCAGAGATGACAGCGTGATATGGAGAAGTATCGTAATGGATATCGCGTCAATTAATATAAAAGGTGTGTCCTTGTAGATGAACAATCGAGAGATTGCAGAAGGGAAGGGATATCACTGCGCCAGTGATGGAGTATTGGATATTGAAGTAATAAATAGCCAGAAATTCATTACCATCCTTGGAAAGATTACTGAAGGGGATTGATACCCTTGCCAAAGTGACCTCTGTAGCAGATAATCAAGCCATTTAAATCATGATATTCACATTCCCATCTCTAGCATTTCATTTTCCATATCAGCGCATCCTTCACTCATTGTACAATAAATGCGGCCACGATTTCAAGTCAATTGCATCGTTATTTATCAGTCAGCAAAAGTGTACGAGGTTGCTGTAGCCGGAATCTGTGTGTGTATCTATATGGTGTCTGACAACAGCAGCAGCAGCAATGTCAGAACATTGTCCTTTTTGAAGCGTTGCACAATGGAGTGCTGTGGCATGGCCCTGCTCTTAGGCACGTTATGAAAAGTGCCACAACAAATGAAATTTGCAATTGCATGTGTCGCTGCTTGTTGCTCTTTGTGTTCATTCACACACTGCCCTACAAAACAAGGGGATATGCGACTGTACAGTGAGAATGAGTAAAAGCCCAACGGAAATGAATGCTTTGTTACTTTGTTTAAAAGCGATTACGTTGGCTGAAGTATCATCAATTATTGGAGAGTGTGCAAAAAAAGGCTATCCTATCCCAGCCCTTTCTAAGTGGCTGCTCATTTGATTTATTTTTATGCGATTTTAGTGGGCAACTGCACTTTAGTGGCCAGCAATTTCCGTTGTTCATTAAGGCGGCATTGTGCAACAAACAAACGAGTTGGCTTTGCGGTTTGCCCCTTTTATGGCCATGATTATGGCCGCTTCTGTTGTGTGTGAAAGCGTGGAAATTGTGGCATTTAATTGTGAAAAAAAGAGCTGAACCAATGAATTAAATGCGGCAGTAATGAGATCTTTAAGCAGAAAATTTCATTTATTGCAGTTTCTTGGTTTAGTTCCAAAAGAATTTTCAAGATGACGAGTCCATTTCTCCTTGCAGCAGGCATTTTATCGATTGTTTTGGCAAATGTTTCCGCAGAGCCACGAACTAAACGCCCCAATTGGATTGCAACTGGAACTGTGGATGCTGCCCCTTCTCAAGATAACTATAATTCCAATTGTACAGCTGATTCGCCTATGAGTAAGCGCACAAACAACATTATTCTTTTTTAAAGACTGAAAATCCCCGAAAAAATCCCACTTAGATTGCCGAGAACAAGAGCTGGAAAAAATGGTGCTGCAGCTTTTGAAATCAACCAAAAAACCTCCTGCGAACACTCCCGTCAAAGATTGGTTTGGTGGAATATGGAATTCGATACGCAATGCCCTAGGGGATTTTATAACTAAATTACCGAAATATGATTAAAGATATTAATCAATCATTTCAAGTTGGCAAGTGGCAATCCATTGGCAGATCTGTCCCTATTTCTTTTGTTTCTATATTATATAGAGAATATATAGAAATCCATTTTGGCCACCACCTTTGACTTTTATTAAGAATTAACAACATTTTTGCATTAAAAGTGTGCCTCGTGTGCGCTTGATGTAATTAAAGCTGATGGGTCGTATGAGTGATGTGGCATGAAATTTATCTGCATAACTCATACGTCATGTTGGATGGCATGCAAAAAGGATACAGCTGAGAGTAGTGTCTCTTCGCTGTCTCTGTTTCTGTCAGTTAGCTTGTCTCTTTGGGAGTCTCCCTCACTCTCTCTCTCTCTCTCTCTCTCTCCCTCTGTATGTGTTTCTGTGCAGCAGCTGGAGCTTAATGATTTTTACGCTTCTGTTGCACTTAAGTTGCAGTTTTTGCTCTATTTTTTGGCCTGTGCGAAGCGTTAATGGCGACAACATCCGCCAGAGAGACAGGGCAGGGCAAACACTCTGGCACACACATGCTCATTTGGCTGGCGGGCAACAAATTCCAAGTCATTAGTCGTAGTCTCCAGCTCCACTCTGCCCTAGCACTCGGGGGAAGAAAAAAAACAGTGAAAACTAAATTACAAGGGCTGCAAAAAAGATTAGAGGGTACGAGTGTTGACAAGTTTTGCCCCAGGACACAGTACTTTCCATTCTGGATTGTAATTTAAACTTGAGTCCGTTGAAATGTATTATTTATAGCGAAGAATGTAACTAAACCCAGGTAGAAATATGTTTAAAAATAAGCTATAAGCTACCTAGTGCTGACACGCTGTACAGTGCTCAACATATTTTATGAGACAGACTGACTCCGGCCCTGATGCCATAGCTCCCTCTCTACCTGTCTCACTCTCTCTGCCTCCATTGCTCTCCATTGCCTGTTCATGTCAGTACATTGGTGGGGTTTGGGTCCGGTTCCGTGGCATGGCTCCGAAAGCTGACTGTCAGCAGACATTGCCTGCCATTGCCAGAGCCATGTCCATGCTGGTGTCGCCGTTCCCTGTCATTGCCCATCAGCGTCATCATGTTGTCTCCCAGTCACCTTCGTCTTTGGTGTGTGTGTGTTGGTGGTGATGTACCCATGTTCCCTGTTGTCAAGGTAAACGATATGAGATTAAGCCACAAAACACAGAACCAGAACCAGAAGCGGGAGCGCGAGTGCCACCTTCTACCGCGTATGTGGCATGTGGCATGTAGCGTTTACGGAAGTAAAGTTACAATTAAAATGAGCAAGCGAAATTAATATCAGCTTAATGACGTATTCTCCTTACAACAATGACAATGAAATATTTTTCAAAGCCGCTTACATAATTATGCACCGACTTTGAGCAATACTGATGGTTATTATCATGAATTATAATCAGCTTACCGCATTTTTGGCAGCTTATACAATTTCATCTAATTAGGGGGAGTGGATTTTCAGCGTTTGATTCCACGTAAAGCTTCAACATCAGAGTTGGGAAAATGTGAAAATGGGAATCATTTGATAGATTTATTATTCAATTACCACAATTAGATTGTTGGCAAAACGGAGCCAAAGTTTATGCATTATTCTAATGGCAATCTGGGAATATTTATTCTCATCAGCATTCTCTGATCTTAATTTGATTAATTTCCGCATTCTGACATAATGAAGCAACTTGTTCTGTTCATAAAGGAAGTTCAACCACTCTGCTTCCTGTCAGACTCATTTGCATATGAGGAGGTGATATCAAAATAAAAATTTAACAATTCTCTCCACATCCCGGCAGTCTCTTATGCAAATTGAACAGACACTGCCAAACCGCAGCAAAGTTTTTAATGAGCCCCAAAAAAAAAAAAGAAAAAAACCAAAAGGTAAAACTCAAAAGTTTTTTGTTCCTGTGCCCTCCAAACACACGCCAACTCCACTCTGTTCCTGATATAATATGATATGCTAGGACCCTTGTTCGTTTCTGTTGAAAAATCTGTTGAATATGCAAATTTGCACTTAAACGATTGCCAGACGACCATTTCTGCCAATTTCCATGGCAAAAGTTTCTTTCTTGCTTTGCTCTTGTCTCTCACTCTTAAATAAATTTAATAATTTATCACATTATTTAAAGCTTAAAGCTGCTTTCAGATTTGTTTACCCCTGACCTGCCCTCACATGCCCGCTGGCTGCCAGTTTACAGTACAGTCTTTGTCTTGTTTAAATATACATATGTATGTATATATTTCTGTGTACATAATAAACGATATTTTTGTTGGTACGTACACATGCATCTAGAAAATGTTAAACATCATCTTCTCAGGTTGATGAGAGAGGGAGAGAAAGGCGAAGTACTTTTCCTAATAGTTGTAGTGCTAACGAAGAAAGAAAAGGGAAGGGAAGGACATGGCACATTAGTTTGGCTACACTTCATGGCAATTTGTCATGTAGTATTAGAGAACGGAATTCCTAACATTTCCCTAATATACATAGATGACTTGGCATTACAATTCAATTCATTCCACTTACAACTAAAACACTTTTAGGGCATTTAAAATTCTGCTCAAAGGTCGGCATAGCCCTTCAGCCTTCCCTTCCAGGTTGTTTTAGTGCCATTTGTGCGTTATTTTTATAAAGTTACCTCATGAATTATTCATAAACGAAGCAGACGTAGCGTAAAGTAAGACAAGCAGCAACAAAAACAACAACAACAAAAAGAAGAAAAAAAAATGGGAAAAAATCGTTAAGTTTTTCTTCTTGCTAGGAAAAACACTCGAGATGGAAGGACAAGTTTCCCGGAGCAAAACCTTTACCAAATACGAAAATCAGATTAAATTATGGCAAAGTTTCTAATTGGTTTGTTATTAAGACAGCGATTACCATAAATTACAATTGAAATGCTGCAAAACAGGGAAATGGGCAGAGCATTCTGCTCTGTTCTGTTTTGTTCCAGAACAAATGGCTAAGCAAATTGACTCTTGGCCTGAAATGAACAATGAACAGAAAAAGAGAGAGATGGAGAGCTCTTGGCTCATGTTTAATGCACTTGACAGTGGCAGACCGCCGGTCGCTGCTAAAGAGACCTTCAAGGAAACCCCCCGAAAGTTATGACTTTTACGCCCCATTATCGCTTAAATAATTTAGTCGGCCAAGAGAAAGGAAAATAATACGAAAAAAAAGGGAAAATTGCTAGAAAAAAAGAATGAAGAAAATTACTAGCATAAATTGTGGTCTTCCCAGAGAGTGGAAAAAGAGTGAAAAGAGTGAGGGGAAAAGGCCTGCATTTATAAAGAGCCAAATTAACCGCAATAAGATTTTTGGAAAAGCGGTCAGTAGAAAATGGCCCACAATGATTACAATTAACTGTTTTCAGCATGTGAAATCTGAATAATCAAGTGGCAAAAAACAAATCCCTGTGGAAAGGATAAAGCGAACGCCAACGCGCCGAACACCAACCAACCCGTGGCAAACAAGGTAAACATTATTTTTTCATCCTGTCAATTTTGCCTGTATTTTTTAATTAAAAATCCTGCGTGTTCCCCGGTACAGGTACAGTGCAAACACCAACCACACCACCAGCCAGCAGCTCCAATGCAAAAGGGTTCGCTAATTAAAAAAATAAAATTTTCTTTCCTTCGACCTTTAAAGATGCTGGTGGAAGCGCCCGCCCCCGGTTCCTTTCGCCTTAACATCTAAGGCATGGGCTGGATGGATTCCTGTGATGCATGGCCATGAAGTGTGAAAAATTTGGACTCATTTTTAAATAGACGTGGGCTGGCCCGCTCTACCATTATTTCATTTTTGTAGTCTGCAGAGTGTTTGACTCTCGAAAAGGAAAAGCAAGGCAGGGCACCTTCTGCCATTTATTTGGCTCTTTTCTAGAAATTAATTAAACACTCGCAAGAGGTGGGGGGTTGGGGGTGTGGCAAGGTCAGACGCAAGGCGAGGCGCGTGGAAATTGTTTCCTTTTTCATGCACTGGAAGTGGAAGTGCCAACAATTAGAAGCCATCAAAAGGACCCCGGACGGACGCCGCCCAAAACGGATGTTTGGCCAAGCAGCAAAAGAAGAAAAAAAAAATAAAAACAAACAGAAACAGAAACTGAAATAGAAATAGAAAATTCGTGGGAAATGTTAACTAACTGAAGCCTGGAAGGCTTTCCGGTTGGTTTCCCATTGAAAGTCATAGGATTGCGCGTTTTAATAAAGTTTCAGCCAGCCAAAACTCTGCGCATAAAATTAAACAATTAAGCAAATTATTTGTGAAAACTTCAAAAGGGGAATGCAGTTGATGCCAAAGGGGTTGCTGCTGCGCGTTGGTTGGTCAAAAGAAAAACGGATAGCAAGTTGAGACATATTTATTGTGTCTTTAAGCCAGAGCCAAAGGGGCAAGCAGCAAGGACTATTTACAGCTGCTTAGACGCTGTGATTTGATTAGTCAATTAACAGTTCATTAGTTGTCAATCGGGGATGGACTCGAAGCGAGTCAATGCCTTAATGTCTTCACACTTTGTCACCCAATAATCCAATCTTAAATCATTTTCCCCCACTGCGCTCCACACAGTTCGTGTATAAATCGAATATCCATTCGCACGGCCACGCCCACACAATGTCCAGTGGCTGAAGCGTACAAAAAAAAAAACATGGCCAGAATGAGATAGACCATGGGCCATAAATAAAGATCCCCGACCCGGCCCTCCTGGTGCTGTTGCTGCTGCTGCTGTACGAGTGTTGGGTTGTATTCTCGTGTATTTTTAATGCCACAATTAAATGCAAATACAATACAGCAAGAGAGGGGGGAGGGAATGAAACTCTGCTCTGGTTCTGAGTCCTGCCTGGGCGCTCGACTGACAACGGGCCCAATGTTGAAGGATGGCCGAGGGACAGCTGAAGGACAACCAGAAAGGACGGTAGGATGAATGGACGGACGGACGGACTCTTCCTATCAACAGCTTTTTTCCTGTCTGTTTTTTCTACACTTTTTTTTCTTTCCTTCTTGTTTCTGGCAGGGAAAAATATTTTTGATGCTGACAACAAAAAAGTACAGCACGAAGCAAGCAACAGCCGGCAGAAAATATATAGACAAGAGCCACGCCCACTTAACCGACACCAGGAACCCTAGCGCTACAGCAACAACTACAACAGTGGGGTAAAGTAACTGGGAAAGGGAAAAACAATGAGAAGAGGACTATGGAGAGGTCCTTGTGTGTGTGTGTGTGTGTGTGTGTGTATGGTTAAGTGAAAAATTCCCCGAAGCGCACCGGCAGAGAAAAACACAAATGAGATATTCACTTAAATTTAATTTCAATTATTTTTATGAAAGCATATTTTAATTCTCTTTATTGCCAATTTTCGTTGAGCAGCAGAACAAGAGCATAACAACAAGAAGACCAATAAAGGAAATACATACAAAAGGAGAAAGGGGGAAATAAAATGTTAAACATTAAATGCTGCCCCCTTCGCCCAGGGTGGCCTCTTCTTGTGCTTGTGGGATATACCACCAGGCGGATGTTAAAGTATTTTTTAATAATAATAATAATGTGATTTTCATGGAAAACAACTGCACAAAAAGACAGCGCAGAAAAAGTACTTGCCACGAAATTAGTATGCTTTTTGTGAATTGCTTAATGGGAAGCCATTAAAAGTTCATTTGCTTCAAATGATTCGGGGAATCATACTGCTCTGAATCGGAAATGAGCATATGATGAATTATGGCAGACAGAAGAGAGATCTGTGCCGTGGGCATCAGTGGGCATTCAATTAATTAAACAGACAGCCACAAAAGTGGCCACACACTTTCATTGCTAGTTCTCTAGCTGTCAAATATTCAATATAAATATATAGTACCCTCTGTTACGCTTTCAATCTCTGTGAAAGTCACTGTCCAGCGTGTCCCGCACTCATCACTGGCTGGGGAAATTCCTCATCTTTTTTTTTTGTTGTTGTTCGGTTGAGCAAAAGAAAATAAAAGGAGGAAATAACAAAATATATATTTTTCTTATTATTTTGTTCTCTTTTTTATTGTGCAGCCTGTTTTGGTATTTTGTGCTTGGCTATGCTTTGTGTACTCTGTCTCTCCCCTCATTCTATGTTTGCTCTTTAATAAAAACAAAAGAGAATAATGAAAAAATGCTATGAAATATTCGCTTGGACAGTTTTTTGCTGCCGAATTATTTGGGAAATTGCTTTTGGGGGAGAGAACTGCTGAAACTGAAATGCAATTAAGTTTTCCTGTGGCTAGGGGCAAACAAAAATACCCCTTAATTACTGCTGCTTAGTTTTGATAATATTTCTCGATTGTGATTTATATATATCCCCCGTATCCCGTATATCCCCACTCAATCATAGAATTTTCGGTCACTCGGGTGAGCGCACCAATTGCATTTGCAGTGCCTGGAAAGTGCGGGGGGAAAACTGTAGCGAAACGTGACCGGGCAAACAATTGAATGCCTCGCACACACAAAGTGTTTCGCGATTCGATTATACGAGTAGCTAAGGGAAAAACTTCAAGTGGAAAATGCATTTGAAGGGGGCGTAAAGCAAAGCCTCGAGATGTGTGGAAAAAAGTTTTCAATTTTTAAGGGATTCATTCCGTTGTACCTACCACCACTTTGTTTCGTCTTCGCACTCGTTCTTTGGGAATTTCATTTAATTTCCTTGGCACTCGCTTAAATTGCAGTTAATGCAAATGAATGAATATTCCATTAAAAGTCAACGAAGGAGAATCAGCAGCAGCGGCAGCGGCAGCAGGAAGCAACAGGCCACAGGATCCCTTGGATTCTGGGAGTCTTTAGGCTGTGAAAATGCAAATTGATTTTCCACCCCTCCGCCTCCCCGCGACTGATTGACGTAACACGTAAAGCGTCACGCAACTTAATTGGGATATTGAATTCCGCCTTGGTATTGGGTTTACATAAAATATGCGGCGTTTATTTACAAAGGGGACTGGGGGACCCACTGCCATGGAGACGACGCTCCACTCCTACTCTATGTCGTCCTCCTCCACCAGCTTGGCTGTGGGGTTTTTCAGCAGCAGAGCCTCGTTGTGCTGCCGCACATTGTAGTAGAAGAAGAAGGACTTGCTGTACTCGAACGTGGATATCATGATGGCACAGGCGGGCGCCACCTTGAACAGCCTGGGCCCGTAGCCTGCGAAGAGTCCGGACAAGCCCTGCGTGCGGTAGATGGAGATCAGCCAGCTGAAGGTGGATCGCTTGTGCAGATCCTTCGCTGGGGAATCCGTGAAGATTACACGCTCCCCAAACTCGATCTGTTCGTGGGTCTTCACCACATCGAAGGGCGTGGTGACCAGCGCAGCCACCGAACCCGCCAGCACACCCGACACGAAGCTCAGACCGAAGGAGGGCTGAGTACTGCTGCCAAAACGCCGCTTCGTGTGCTCGTAGATGGGCCAATAGATGCCCGAGAAGGGCACATCTCTGAGTATTGTCGGTGGCAGTCCTCGCCACAGTCCCCAGATGCCCTGCAGTGCGAGCACATTCCTCACGAAGCTCAACATCTGGGCATAGGACATGGGCTGGGCCTGCATCTTGGTGCGCACCAGCTCGATGGGACTGACCACAGTCACGGCACAGATCCTCGCCGTCACACCAGAAAGCATGGGCACCACCACAGGCAATGGCAGTTCTCCCGGCTTGAAGGAGGACATCGTTTCCAGCTCGCTGGTCTGCTCCTTGAAGTACTGCTCATAGATGTTGATATACCTGGCCTTGAACTGCTCGTAGGCCACAAAGTAGATGATGGTCGAGGGCAGTGCCGATACCAGCGTGGGTCCCAGGCCCGACCACAGCGCACTTAGTCCCTCGTTCCGACTGATCTTGAGCAGGGCGTCCAAGGAGTTGGTGAACAGCGGCTTGGGCGGCTGCTGCGGCCCATCGGGGCGGTAGGGCAGAAGGTGATCCATCAGGCCGTTGCAATAGAAGAAACACTTGCCCGTGGGCGACTGCTGCGTCTGCATGCGCGTCTTAATCACGTCCAGTGGCGTCATGAACAGGGCCGTGATCATGGCACCCGTGCAGGCGGAGACCACCTGCTGCAGCGGTCGAATGCGAAAGCGTGGATCGTTCAGCAGCTTCTTGGGCTTTGCGACTTCCTTCCTTTGGGTGTGCTCTTTGTTGGACGCCATGTCGCCGCCACCATTACTGCTGCTGCCATCACTGCCATTGCTGCCGCCGGACTTCCTTTGTGGTCGAGTGGCACGTGGTCCACGGCTCAGATTGACCCCGGGATCAGCGGTAGAAGCGGCCTCTGGACTGCCCGCGGCTTTTTCTTCCGTCGACATCTCAGAGACTAGAAAGCGCTTCCTTCAGTTTGAGTGCCAAATGTCATTGGAAATTTGAAGGAAAATGCAAATGTCATTGGTTGTTAGTGCTGACAGACGCTACTCTGGTTTCAAAACGTGCTAACCAACACTGCTGCATGGGTGGCAACTCTATAATCAAGGCTCCCTCACTAATTTCGTATGATTGTAAATTCCATTTGTTGGAAAGCCCCCCTCCCCACAACTTATTTATACAAATACGAAACGAACATTCAGTCGTTTGCTTAATTTCCTCTTCCTTCCTTCCAAGCCGCCAGCGACTGACTGCTCGAAGCAATTAAAATACTTTTGTGCCAAAGTAAAGCAACAACAAAAAGAAAAAAGGCGACGCGTCCGTTCCATTCCGTTCCGGAATTGTTGTCGCTTCTGGCTTTATTTTATTTTTGGCAAATTAACATGCAGTGTACTCACCCGCTTCGCTCTGTGCTGATGGCGCGCGCTGTTGGCGCCAGTTGTGTTCATTATGGCAGCATCGGGGGATCTGTATGCTCCTCTCAGAGGAGTTCGAAGTCATCCTGGGCCACACAACAACTGCAACTGTGTCAAAGGTTGAGTGCTTTGACACAAGAGGAGGGTTCCTGTTCGTTGGTTCAGTCGTTCGGTCGTTTCTGGTTTATGTGGGTGGCGGACTACGTACAATTCAAAACATGTTGACTGCTGGCGGCAAAAATAATTGACAACAAAATGGTGTCTGTACTCGTATCTGCATATGTGTGTCTGTGTATCTGTGTATCTCTGTGTGTGTGTGTGTGTGACTGACACATGTTCCACAATCTGTCGTCACTTTATTAACACAGAAAGAAATGCTGCAACATGGGGGAAAAACTCTCAATACAAACAGATTGATAGATAAATGGATGGATGGATGGATGGATGGTTGGATGGTTGGCAAACCCCTTGAAGCTTTCAATTATTCAGATTTCTTTCACTAATTGGTCCGTGGCAAAGGTGCTTGATTCATAACGATTAGCTCTAAAGCGGTTTGTAGATTAGTTTAAATTCAATTTTGGTTTTCATTTTGGTAAATATTTTTGCATGTTAAATTGTTTTCAATTCGTACACGGCCTGCAGACAAGGCCAAGTGGAATACAAGCAAAACAACCGAGAGTGGATCTGCTCCATACCCAGGGCCAGGCCTGGCCAGGCCAGGCAACGTTGTAGCGCTTCTGCTTAACATGAGAAAACACTTGCCTGAAGAAGGCAGGAGGCAGCGGAGCTGCCAGAATGTAGCCCTGATATGATTACGACGTAGTCTGACGGCAGGCAGAAGTTTTCTGCAAAGCCATGAACCAAAGAGAAAAAAACAACAGAAAACACAGTAATCTATTTGAAGTAGCCGAAGATAAAGATACACTGGCAGTGGGATTATTTCAATTGAAATTGTGGGCTGAAAGATATGGAAAGATGTGTACATCAGAGAGGTACTTGTGAGGATTGTTCTCAGCTCCTAACGATTGCATTTCAACTGCAAATAGATGGCCTTTTTATATGCTCATTTAAGGCTTGAAGTCTCCTACTTTATTGCCCTGGAAACAGCTGTCAAATCTCACATAATAACCCCTTAAAAGGGTATCCTAACATAAAATCCCCTAAAACTGTTTGCAAGTGCAAAACAGAAGGTAAAGTCTTGAGCGAAATATGCCATGACAACAACATGCACATGACATACTAACTAGCGAACGCTTTGCATCACCTTCACGTTCACCTCCGTCTCCGCCCACGCCCCCCTGCCTTAGGTTTAGCTGGCATCTCATTCCGTTGAGCAGAGCACCCCGCACCCGAATCGACTGCGTGACAACGTTACCGTCATCACATCACATGCAGACATTGTCTTACAGTTATGACTGGCGTTGCTATTTGGAATTCGACACGTAGTCATGGGTCCTGGAGGCACGTAGGGCTGGTGTGATCCGGCGCGGTGTGGACGAGTTACGAGGTACGATGGCTTATCGGGGTCGCAGGAGCATGGAGCCATGTGCTGGGTGTCGATTTTGACACGTTCCCAGTGGGTGTGAGTGTGTGTGTGGGTGTCTGTGTGGGTGTCTATGTGTGTGTGTGTGTGCGTGGGAGCTGGTAATTGTGGTGTAAAACTGTAGAATAACAGCACTTAGCTGGTTGCTAATATGAGCACGTGTTTTCCTTTGTTGCACAACAGAGAGTGAAGCAGAGAGAGAGATAGAGGCAGAGAGAGAGAGAGAGAGAGCGGCGGCAGAGCATCCTTCGAGATTGATTCAATATAAAATAAACTCCCCAAACCAAAGTCTCGAACCGCATTCAATTTCTGATTAAAATGCTTGGATAATTGGAAATTTCTGCTGTTAATCGACTTTGGCGTGAAATGGTTTCTAAATGGAAATTAGAGCCAAGCATTCGCTCAGGGCTGGGCTGTCCTGTCTGCCTCTGCAGCAGTAGCAGCAGCAGCTGCTCAAATTATAATCAGCTTATGTCAATGCAGTTTCCATTAATTTCCCAACTCATGTGCATATTTTTATTTAATTAAAATAATCGAAAGTAAATTGCAGCGCCCAAAGATTGTTGACAATCGCCCACGCAAAAACGAAAAGGAATGGAGACAGCGGCGGGTCGGTAGAAAGCAATTGAAAGGCAAAGTCCTTGGGTAGGGATTCAACCCACACGCACACACAGCCATATGGCATATGACAAGGAAAATTCACAGAAACAGACGCAGACACAGCCACGGTAAAAAGTCACAAAGAGCGTGTGGGCGCAGGGCGTAGGGCGTAGGGCGTGGCAAGACAAGGCGAAAATGTGGCACGCGGCATTCACCGCACAATTCCATTACGTAAAGCAAACATCAGATGGCGTTGGTTGCGTTGCATGATTGGGTTTGCTACCGCTACTGCTCTCCCTCCATCTCTCCATCTTCCATGGATATTCTTGCTCCCATTGATGCTGCTGATGCTGCTGCTGATGCTGCTGCTGCTGTTCCACTGCCACTCCTTGTGGCTGCCTTTTTCCCCCTTTCTTCAGTTGAGGCGTGGCGCGAGTAAAAGCAACATATTGAATATTGATGCGCATCGATTTCGACTTGAAAGGGACAAAAGTTCACCCACACATACGAGCGAACTCATGCTCTTTGTTTATAATAAAAACATTTTGCAATTTCTTGCTGCGTGCCACTGCAAAGGCAGCAGCAACACTATGCAACACACACACAGCCACACACACAAGTTGTGAAAGTTAAAATAAATATTTGCAAATTAAAGAAAATATTACAGAAGTCAACTCAAATAGTATCTGTGTGTGTTTGCTTCAATTAAACTTTCATAACTCGATTCCCATCGAATATTCGAGACAGTCGGAGAGTGTAGTAGAGTGCACTCAGCCCTGTCTGTGCCGCCCGCTCTCTGTGTGGCAGTGGTGACGCCTGGGAAACCATTTGTGGAACGCTCGACGAGCATTTAAAACAATTGGTGCCAAACAATTACGATGGCGGTGCGGATGGGATGGGAGGGAGGGAGCTCCTACAAAAGCGGAAGGCTGCTGACTTTTCTCGCCAAATTAGCGACAAATGTGTGGCGGCAGGCTGGGGACTGACTGGGCTTCAGAAGCGTGGGGCAGACAACGACCCAAATTGCAAATTGCAACAAACTTGAATGAAAGTGGAGCAGCGATTGCTATGGCTATGGCTATGGCGATGGCGACGGCACATTGTCTGTGCGAAAACTTGGTAATAAGCAAATTAAACGTTAAGGAAAGACGGAAAGGCGGCAAGGCCCTGGAAAGTATGCTACAATAAAAAGTCAGTCGACTGCCAATTCGAGTGACTTGCCGCATTAACACCCCAGCCCGAGCCAAACCATGCCACATGCTGCCACATGCAACCGAACGGCAATATCATGGGTGTTAATTGCTACTCAAAGCGGGGGCAGGGGCTTGGGCTGGTGCTGGGGCTGGGGCGAGTGTGGTTCCTGGGGCAAAGCTCAATGGCAACGCCTGACTGCTTCTCGTGCAGGTCACGTTCTACAAAGTTTCCTGCGCTTTTCCACACTTTTATTTACTTTTAGAAGATCTTTTCTCGCACATTTCACCCAGCCCGTTTCCCTATTGCTCGTAATTGTAGTTTTCCTTTCGGTTTTCTTGGGTGCGCCCAGCAAAAACGGGAAAAATATTTATGATGGAAATGTGTTTGCGGGCAGAAAGCCATGAGAGAAAGCGAAAGAGCAAAAATAGTAGTACGAGTAGCATGAAAACAACAAAAGTCATAAAATATATATAAATAAAATGCGCTTTGCCATAAATCTCATACGTGTGAGGAGGGTCTGCGAGAAGCGTGTTCGTGCCAAGTACCAGCAGCAGGACCAGCACCATGGCCGCAGAGGGATAAATTTATAAATTTAATAAAAGAACAGAAACTATGAAAAATGTAAATGCAAATGGGTTGCTTGTTTACATGTCTAACTCCCTGGCAATGTGTTACTGCAGCCACAAAACGATGGAAAATCTGGTGAAAAATATATGCAACAAAATGTTTTGCCATTTAAATCTGTTTTGCCAAATCTCTAGTAATGGAAAGCATTTTCTGCACGAGTTTTAGCTTGGAAAATGCTCTTCAGATTGAAAATTATTAACATAAATGAATGGTTTTTGCCTCAACACTTTGAACACTTTCACTTTCGCCTACTTGATCAGAAATGTAACTAACAGCAAGACAGAATATTCTGCATAATTTGCATAAAGAACAATCTTCAGCTTGAATCAATTTTCTGCATATTATTTTATGGCTTTTATGTCGTTAAAATTTAATAGCCCATTGAACTCTCGGCCGCAAAAGCAAACAAATAAACCATGCAGCAGAATAATAATATTAAAAAAAAAAATTTGAAAGAAAAATAACCTAAGGGCAGGGCGCACAGCATGCACATAAAGTCAAATATATTTAATTAAATATTTATTTTATTGTACTGCAACCATTGTCCAATATTCCGAGGTGCGATTGCTGTTCATTTTCGAATATATATTCATTGAGGTTTCGATGCGAGTAATTTGCATTTAACGCGCACACCGCGTGGGCTACACCGCAAAATTACATTTAATTCTCGCAGGTCGGCAGGCAGTCGGGAAAATTATCAACCAAACAAATCCGTTTATGCAGTTGATGTCGCTAATGACATTTGTTATTTTTCCACTAGTTTTTGTGCTGTGTCTAGTCTCCCAAAATACAATTAATTAAGCGTTTTTGTTTTTGTGCAGAATATTGCCTTTTGCGTAGCCATGAAATTGATATTTTCGTTTGAATGAAATTTTACGAAAATTATTGTATGAAATCAAATGAAATTTTTGTTGTAATTGGGCAGCAGGAATATTCTGTTTTGGTCAAAAGCTCATTAAATGTAATTCCAGCTATAATTAATAAGCTTTCGGCAGAGGGTGGGAACCAAGCCCAACCAAAAGGGTCAAAGCGAATTAAGTTAAACCCTTAGCCGCCAGTCAGAAATGTACGCCCCACACATTTACTTTAACGTTTTCCCCCACACACATTTTGTTTGTTCAAAAGTTGTCCTTTTCCATTTTTATTCTGTGTAATGTTACATTGCTACAATAATTGTTTGGATTATAAATTATTTACACTTTGCTGTGTGTCCATTGTGTGTGTGTTTTTTTCCGTTTGGCACCTATTAAATTATTAAAACTTTCATTAAAAAGTCAAACAAACGTCAAAGGGGGCTAAAAATAACGAAACATAATTTGCATACATACATATGTATGTATATATGTATTTGTTGGTTCGGTTCTCTCATTTCTGTTTGGTTTGTGGAATGTTTAACCAGTTTTATTGTTTGAGGCTATTGAAGACCCAAGTGAATCCATTCGTTGTGGTGCGGAAAATGTATAAATAAACGTATAATACTAATTATTAAGTACATTAATTAGTTATGATGCATTTAAGCGGCTTAATTAACAATGAAAATAAGGGGAAACGGGTGGGGTGCCTATAGCATATGCATGTCGTTGTCAATTTGCTTTAATTAAACAACATTTTTATTATTTACAATAATGATCCAATTTAAATTATGGTTTAAAGATATTTTATGTGTTTTTTGTTGTTATTGTTTCTATTGGGTCTTACTCTCATAAGATTTCATTTGTTTGTGCCACTTCCTTGCCTTATTTGGAGCAACCAACAAAACAGTCCCCAAACAGTAAATCAAATCGGGGACCAGAACGTTACATATTAATGCATGAATTGTTGCCAGTCTCTGTCTCAGTGTTCTGGAAGTTTCATACTCCATGGAGGCGAGTTGAGGAGGGGAAGAGACAACTCTTACATTTGGGTTGGGTTATGGAAGTTCCATAGCCCAGCCCTCTGCATATTTGACTTTAATATACTCTTGAGTTACTCTAATTTGTGGTTGTCAGCAAATTTACGAAGATATTCAGAGGAGCAAGCAGACTGTATTTTGTGTAGCTGCTTTTGGGAATTTCCTCTTGTACTCGTAGTTTAGTTTTCTTGATTTTTGTTTTGGTTTTTCTGTGGCTGTGGCTTTTGATTTGTTGGGTCCAAACTATTTGGCTTGTGCGGTTATTTCTGCAAGTACCGAGTATTTCTGTAGTATGTAGTAGTAGTTCCCTGCTAGTAGTTTATGAATTATTCAGGCCAGTGGATATCTACCAAATTGATTCGAATGCTACATATTTAATGGTGTATAAGTGTTTTTGCCCTGCGGTGAAGTGATTAAGGTTTCGGAATTAGCCATATCCTCGTGGATTGCCCTGAGAGCAAAACAGATTTGTTGTCTTTTCAATTGCCATCGTTTGCTTTTCATTTCCCCCCCAAGAATTTTCACTTATATCCAAGTGGCGAATGGTGAATGGGAAATGTGCATTGGGCAATTCTATTAAATGGCATATCAAGCTAACAAACTTCCCATTTAGCACTTTATAACTTGCCACAAAAGTTATCTCTGGGTTTATTCAATTTAAGGACTATTTCATACACTTCTCAGCAGACTGCAGCAGAATGCCTGCCACAAAAGAAAATACAGCAAAACGATACGAGTACATGGCAAGGCAAAAGAAGCGAATATAAAGGGGGGAAAGGAAAGAACTTCAGCAAAGAGTGTAACGCCCTATGGCATTTTTCAATTGAGGAAAATTACAAACAGCATTGCCAGACTTGATGGACGGACAAGCAGACAGGCGAGTGGGAGCTAGGGCATGGAAATCTCATATAAGGTTTTTTCTTTGAAGTGCAAACAAATGTCGACACTTTTTGCTGTGTGGGGTCATATCGAGTTCATTCAATCAATTAATATATGTGCTCAACATTCCGATCAAATAAGCCCCCATGCAAAGTACATTGTGGTTCTTATGCTGCTAAAATGGGTAGGTCCAGACGGAGACTTTTCTCATAATTAAGCAATGGTCTGGCTGCTCTAAGGCTACGTCCATCCGTCCTCATTCCTTAACAAAATAAGTGTGCAAACAAATATTCGTACAAAAAGGACCTACCAGAGGGCCTTGAGAGAGAGAGCCAAAATGAAAGCGTAAAAACAATCCAATGGGGCAAACAATTTAATTACGACTTTCGTGGCGCCCCCGCTTATACTTTGGGGAAACATTTCTTGGGGTGGTGCAGTAGAATTTTCAATTTTCGTTCGCGACAAACTTTGCCATTCGATGTTTTGTTCCACAACCTGCGTAAAGGGCGAATAAAAATGTTGTAGAATCAACAACAAAAACAAAATAGAAACAGAAACAAGAAAAACTTGAAGACACAACAATTTGCATAACGGACCCAAAAGCGAAACGACACAATAACTCAATCTCTGGAGCAAAAAAACAAAAAAAAAAAAAACCAAAAAAAAAAGTAATGTGCCACAAAGGGAATAAGGCATAAAAGCTGGGTCCACAAAACTTTCATCTATGGCAACGACAGAGGCAGAGGCAGAGGCAGTAAATCCTGCAGGATATGGTCTTAAGCTTGGCGCAACAAAACGCACAACTATTCTGCGGCGGTGGCGACAACTTTGATGCCATGGGGGGCAGAGTCAGCAACAGAAACAGCCAAGTGGAGAAAGAGTTAACAACTATGCGGGAAAATGCCAAATATTTGAAATATGTTCAGCTATAGAAATGTTGACATTTCAACTGATTTTGATGTGAATCCAGAGCAACAGAGCTACACAGAGCGTGCTCCAGTAGTGGCGCTGCTGTTGAAATTTTGTGGCAAATTAAGTTGGCAGGCACCACAAAATTGCCTTGGCTCTGCTCCTCCGAGAATATTGGCAGCAGCCACAATAAGAATAGAGACAGCAACACACATGAAAGGAAAGCAGAGTACGAGAGTTTGAACTTGCAAGCAGAAGCTATAGATACACTTGGAGTTTTTCAGTGTTCATTGAAGTTCCTACGGAGTGGAGTTAGGTTGGAAGTTTCAATGTCAGCTAAGAGTGTATGATGTAGGGAGGATACCAACTCATAGGCAAGGATGTGCACTACTGATCAATCCATTTACTACTTTATAGATGCATTCAAATATCAGAGGCACCCTCTTGAAGTGTATTTCCGAAACAGAACTGACGCTCCGTAAGTAGCTTTTGTTTGGTAAATTGCCGGCAACAATAGTTGACGCAACTTTTGTGTGTGGTGTGGCGTGGTGTGGAAGTGGCAAAATGCAAGGCATTGTTATTGGCAATTTCTGCTTGTGTCGGTTGTCAGGGGAAACAAATGCAAAAATCAGCCATATGCAAATTGCCTTCATCGATGAGTGTCTTGTGTGTGTGTTATGTTATGTCATATGGCAAGAAACCTAATTTTATTTAATAGAAAGAACATTTAACTTATAATACTTGCTGTGGGGATCCATCCCATGCTGTACAATTTGTGGATAGCTTTTCTTTGGTTTACATCAGAATAATGACTGTGATTTGTAATGCATAAAATTATGACTAAATTATACATAAATTATAAATATCTCTGCAACTTTTCTTATTTCTTATTTCCCCTTCAAACCATAAACCAATCTATTTTCCATCTGTCAAAGATATTTCCCACTCAGATGCTTTTCTTTCATCACTCAAAAGTTACTCTGATTTGATGAGACTTTCCCTCTGCTTATATCGATACGATGCTGCCCACTGAAACATTTTGCTGCAAAAATTCTCTCTTTGCAATTCTCGAAACTAATTTACGATGGGTGAAAACTTTCCTTTCAGGGCACACAAACTGCAGTGGAAGCTCCTAACCGCCATCGCCGCCGCCAAGTCAAAGATAAACTTTATACCAAAATGTATTATTAAATTTACGCAAGCTCTATAAAATTCCGACAGCCTGTGTGCGTGGACCCCAATGGCGAGGCGGAGAGTCGGAGATTCTGAGAGGGCAGCAGGCATTTGGCAGGCAGCTGTCAGAGTTGCTGCTCCTCGTACGCCGCAATGCGGCCACAGCGGGACCTTCATCCTTTCTAACTCGTGTCGCTCTCCACTCTCTTTCTCTCTGGCGTTAAATTGAAGAACTTCTTGGCAGCTGGCTGCTGGCTGCTAGCTGGTCGCTGCTCCTCCTGGGTGTTTTGTTTTTCCTATATATTGGTCGTAATACTTTTGCCAGGCTGCTGGCAATGCTGCTGCAATTCGGTGCGCACCGTGTTCGTGGATGAGGATGAGGATGTCGACGATGATGCCGAAGTGGAGGCTGATGCTGTGGATGATGCCGCCGAAGCCGACGAATCTGATGATATTGTGGAGTCTGTGCGCTGCTGTTGGTGTTGTTGTTGTTGTTGTTGTTGTTGTTGTTGCTGGCTTCCCATGGGATTTGCGGTGTTTGCTGTGCGCAAATCCTTGCCGGAAGCCTGACGCTGCAACAATTGAGGTATGCGGGTCGGTGTTACGGTGGCCATTGATGATGCTCCTCCAGGCACCAGTGCAGCTGGTGTCTCTACTCCTCCTTCTGCGACTACTCCCTGATGAAGATGTGGCATCGGCTGCGGCTGCGGCTGCTGCTGCTGCTGTTGAGTGAGGCGCGGTATGAGCGATGTCCTGGAGGGAGATTTCATCGGCTGCGCATACAAATCGCCATTGGGCGCCGACCAGCTCGTCCCATCGTTGCCTGGACACGCCTCAGGACTCGCCTCAATCGAGTAAATGCATTCGGTACGCTCACCGCCCTGCGGCGGTGTGGTCTCATGAGCCGGCGGCACCGACTCAAAGGATTGGAAGGATCCGCTAAGTGCTGTCATCGCCGCCGTCGCCGCTGCTGCTGCTGCTGCTGTTGCAGCTGTCGTCGCTGCTGTCGCTTCGGGCGCTCGTCTCTGTCGCTTTAACGAGGTCGCCGGCGACTTGGGCACAATGGGACCGAAGATTAGTGTATTCTGGGTAATCTGCGGCTCCCCGGGCTCATCCTCTTCCCCTGCCAGATCCTGCGCCAGTTGCAGTGGCGATGTGGTAATGTTGCTGCTGTCCCGTCGCCGCCGCCCCAAAGTGCTGCTAATGGTGCGCGGCGGTGGCAGTGGAGCGCTGAAGTTCTGCGGCGGCAAAGAGTTCCGCTTGTAGCTGCCACGGCTATCCCTCAGATCCTGGGCAGTGGGCAGCACCTTGGGATAGTTACGCTGGCGTAGCAGCTCCAGCTGTTGGGCAGCCGTCAGGGGCACTACTGCCAGCACACAATCCTCATCGCGACTCGTCACATTAATGTCCACATCGTCGGCGTGCACGAAGCTGGTCACCTGCTCGTCGGCGGCCAGGATCATGTCCACAGGATCCGAGTGGGCGTGCCGATGCAGTGGCATCTGCTGCAGAACATCCTCACTGGGTTCGGTGAGGGCCGAATGTTGTCGCTGGAGCAGCATTTCGTAGTGCTGCGGCTCGTGCATGTGCTGGGGTATCAGCAGTGCAGCATCCGCCACTTCAATGTCCTGGCAAATGATCATCCGGCCATCGGCAAGCACTGCCGTGGGTGTCGTCGCAGTGGGTGTGGCAAAGCTGCCAGATTTTGGCAACTGCTCCTGTCCCGACATCCACTCGCAGACCTTCGTGTGGGTATCCACCGTCGAGCAGCTGAGCTGCCGCTGGATCGCATACCCATTGATGGCCGACCGCTGACTCGTTTTGATGGCCTCATAAGTGTTGGACTTTCGTGCCATGTCCATGATGTAGCTGTCATCCCCATCCCGCGATTTGCTGCAGCGCTTCAGCTCATCGTCGTTGGCTCCGTCGTAGCTGAGGATGTTCCCATTCAGCTTTGGCGCCGGAAACGGCAACATTTTGGCTCTCTTGCGACGCTGCCGCATCAGGAACGTGCCATAAATGATCACATTCAAGGCAATAATCAGGGCTATCAATGCAATTAGCAGCTGCAACGTAGTCTCCGATTTGGCCACCGTCTCCGGTTGGTCCTCCATTGGGTGTGTGGCAGAGGTTACCTCCAGATCCTCCTCCTGCTGCTGTGGCTGCTGCTTGTGCATCACATGCCCAAAGGTGGGCGGTGCATTGTACATATTCTCTGCTGCCGTTTCCGTTGAGTCCGGACTGTTGGCCAGACTGGGCTCCTGCAGCAGCAGCTTAAGCGTACGCACTGGGTCCTCAGCGCCATTGTCCCGCGGACCGTACTTGCTCATGTGACCCGTAATCACTTCATTGCCGGGATGCAGCTGCTCCTGCAGTGCTGCAATTTGATTGAGTTCATCGGGCAGCTCTTTGTTCCAGAAATTCATATAGATTTGTCGGTACTTGTAGCCCACAGTCGGTGGGATTCCTGCATCGAGAAATGGAAACTGTACAGGTCAGGGGAACTGCGTCTCCATTGTGGAATGGAATAATTACTCACCAATATTGAGATAGGCCTGGGCTCGCTTATTAAACTCCGGCCAGTCGAGGTCATAGCGATCCCACTCGAGGGCATGTGAATTCAGGAAGATGCCTTTCCATGGCGCCTTCGGATTGCTGTGTGTGTGTGTGTGGGAAAATTCGGATGTTTATCAATTTCCAATTATAGCTAGAGAGTTTTGCCCCACCCAACACTAATGAGGCCCCCCAACCCCTGCTACTATTAACCAAAACAATTCCATTTTATGGGCATAATCCGAACATTTATTTTCTCCATTTAAATGACATGGTTATGGGTAGTCGGGCCTGTGATTGCCTCTGCCTCTGTCCTGGCTAACGATCAGAACTCTGATTTCCAGTTCTGGTTTTTATTTCCATTTATTTCTCTGATCCCTCCCAGAGCCACTAACCACTAATAATATTTGCATGCAACGCTCTCTCATGGCCGATGTTTTCACTGCGGGCATAATAATAAAAGTGGCAGTAAAAATTCTATTCATTTCACTGTCCAAGCGTTGCAGATTGCAAAACGTGCCGCCACACGGCGGGCGCCACCAAGCGAAAGCCAAAGCCATTCCAAAAAACTCATGAATATCCCCACATTGCATCCGCATCCGCATCGCATTCGTAGTCCCGTCGTAGTCCGCATTTGCATGCGGCACTGTGACTCTTTTCGTGTTGATGTTCCCTTCTTCGTTCTACTCCTACTCCAACCTCTGCACTTCACTTCCCACAACTCGCTCCGCAAAATGCACTTTCCACTCGAAGACCAGTACTCACCCTGTCTTTGCAAAATTCGTCCAATATGCCATTACCGCCTCTGAAAGAAGCTTTTCCTGCATCGTATAGTTATGGCTGGGAAAAGGACCTGCGGGAGCCAAAGGCGCACCAAAGATAAACGCCAATTCCTCGCCCATAATGCTATGCGGTAGCTGTAAGTGAAATATACTCGCATATATATTATCCATAGAATCGTCAGTAAATCAAGCTGCAAAGGGAATACTCTCCTCTATCAGCGCTAAGCTGTTGAAAGTTTTGGGTTAAAGTAGCGGCAATTAGCAGTCCATCGATGAAAGGGAAAGAAATTTATTATTGTTACGGTGGGGGATCAAAGCAGGGAAGCATTTAAAGGGTATAAAAGGAGCAGTGGGCAGGATTTAAAGTAAGTTTGAAAGCAACTTCGCAAAGGCTATGTACCCGCCATTCAAAAATCTATAAAAAATCGCTGCAAATGGTTTTCCGCTTCCGCGCTACCCTTTCGATCAGTGCAAAATGTTCCTCTCTCGCTTTTGTTTTTTGAGACATTGTGACCAGCAGCACAAAACCCGAGCATCAATCTTCTTAGACGGAATGCATAAATATTTGGCCAAGCGCACAGACAAGGCCAAAAGCGACAGACAGATAGACAGACAGACAGGCAGGCAGGCAGAAGAGACTGACTGGAATGGCTCTCTGTATGTAAGTAGGTAATAAAGCCAAGTTTTTTATTGTTGCGCCATGAAAATTGTAACAAAGTCACAAAGCATTTCGCTCGCTGGCTGTCTGAGACTGTCCTGGCAAGTGTCCTTTCGGACTGAATGCCTGCCTGCCTGCCTGCCCATCCTGTCTGTCCTTCGTTCTTTTTATGGCATTTATGAATGATGAATTTTTGCGCTTTTGATTTTCATTTTCATTTCTCTGGCAATTGTGTGAGAATTTGATGAAATGAGCAAAACGACGGAATTCAATATTGGTTTTTCATAACACAAGGCGACTTAAGCTTCGGGATTTTTATTGAGCCAAAAAAAAAAAAGAGAAACATTATAACGTTTGATGGAATATACGGTTCGATAACCTTTCAACCCAGACAGAATCAAAGTGATTCTTTGTAAGTTTTTTCCATTGATTTTGATCCGCCACACACACTTTAGCATATGTTTATTTTTGCGTCTAATATTTATGGAAAATGGTGAGAAAAACCTGCAATATATTCATATCAATCAATTTGGGTGTCGCTCTAAAGCACTATTATTAGTTTTTATACATAAAATGAATAGATTTTGCCATAAATAATTTTTCACTTCTACAAAACATTTTATTTCCGCTTTAAATCAATTTATAACGCAATGCATAATTAAGAAATATTCATAACTTTCACATAGAAAATATTGTTGAAATATTTATTCTTTTCAATGATCCAAAACCCGTGGGCGGCGCACATCCTGTCACAAATTATCTCCAGTTTCATGGCGATTTTTAATATTAAAGTGGCAGGAAATTCATTGGGAAAAAAATACCGGCAACGGAGGCGGAAATTCAATTTTGAAATTAATGCGTAACTTTTGTAATTTATGCTCCCAAAAATGTTGTGCCCCACGGCCATGGGGCGGAAGCAACAATTTGACTTAGCGCCATTTGTCGTAATAAACCTAATGGAGTTAATGGCACTCGGAGCGTGTAAAATTTCCAAAAATATTTGCCCCTGAAATTGGCTCAAAGAGAGAGTGGGTGGGGCCAGACGCCCTTGGGGCTATGGAATGTGCAGAAGCGTGGCAAGGCACGCGCCGCCACACTCTCCTCTTTATGTAATTTTATAAGATTAGCACTAGGATACAGGCACCATCCAGGTGCTCATTAATTGAATACTTTTTGCCCTTCCATAATTAGAAATTTCTATTTCTTCAAAGGAATTTCTATCTTTCTCTCTCTCTCTCTCTCTCTCTCAGAAGAAGGATAGATATATCCTATATTTTGTTTGCTATTTGCCAAAGACTCAAGTCTTCAGCATCCATTTTTTTTTTGTGTGTTTCCAAAAATAAAAGTTTAGTTTCGGTTTATATTTATTTTATTTTCATAAATTTCTTTTCCTTCCTCAAACAGCCATTTCGCATTCTTATCAAAAAGCAAGTGTGTGGGCGGCATAAGGAAATGGGTCCACAAAAAAAAAAAACAGAGAACTTTTCCAGAAAGAAAAATTCACCAGACGGGTCAAGTTTTTTTTCCTTTTATTTTGCCTTTTTTTTTGTTTATTTGCGGGTCTGTGGCAAAATTCTTGGGATACTGACCGCGTTTAGAATGCGATGATAATGACGTTTGTCGACTACGTGGCTTTTGGGGCAAATTGTTGAATTTAATATGGAAAACTTATTAAACTGTCCTCAAGACATCGAGTGGATGGCCTTCCATCTTCTATGGCTCTGGCCTAAATGATGAAATAAATTGGAACTTGTTTTGTGGAAAAGTTTTCGGCTCGTTGGGTTTATGGTTCTTGGAAGGAGTTTGGGAAATTAAAAAGGGAAATGGCAACATCGAAAGAAAATCTAAATCTCCCAAGAGGCAGAGCAGAGACTTTTCTGTGCGTCGTTTGTTTATTTTTCTACATTTAATGTATGTGTGTGTGGGTTTGAGTGTTTTTGTCTCTGGGATTAAATTCAATTAGGTTATCCTACCCGCAAATCGCATTTCAGCTGAAAATCCCCTTTTTTTTGTGGGCGGGTGGAATAATATCATTGCCTGGAATAATTTTCGCTATTTTTAACAATTGCCATAAGCCCACAATAACAAATAACAGCTCCTCCGAGATGGAAGGCCGCAAGCGGATAGAACACTTCAAGAACCTCCCCCCAAAGAATGTAAGTAGTCTCTTTGGAGCATTTTTCTGGGCTGGAACGTTTTTTTGTATCTGTATTTGTAGCTGTAGCTGTATCTGTGTCTGAGCTTGAGGTCTGAGCATCTCAACTGCAAGACATGCAAGACATGTGCCAAAAAGTTTCACAATATGCCCGCGGCTGAGGACTCAACAAGATATATGTGCATATAGTCGGGCATGGAGGCGTGGTCCATTCTTGGGGAAGCCAGTGAGTGGCCTGCTACTTGAAGCATTACGCTTGAGATGGAGTGCAGCAGCCCACAGCAACAGAAGCGCAGTTTATGCACAAATTCATTCGTATTCAGCCGGGGATCGCTCTCTTTCTCTCTTTCTCAGAAGAGAAAGAAAGAGAAGTTGCACAAAAAAATTGTTGTTGCGAGATGCTCATAGAATGGTAGAAAAACAGGATAACTTTGGGTTTAGGTTTGGGAATGTACCAAAGTGTGGCATATCCTCGCAGATTATTCGTTTATTCATGGGAGTTGGGAGAGATATCTACAGGATAGTGGTGCTATCTTCGGTTCGAATTTATCAACGAACTACTCACAATCCGAGAGGGCAACAAACTGACAATCATGCAGTTCCTTGCACCTCAACACCCAAATCATAATACCCTACCTGTCTAAGGGATATCAAAAACATTTCAGCATTGTAGTCTGAAGTCTGAAGTCGATACGAGCGCGCGCGTGTGTGCTTGTCTGTGTCTTAACTTGTCTGACTGTTTGTTTTGCCGGTTTGCTGTTATTTCTGTCTGGGCGAAGACCGACCGCCTGCTTTTCGGTTGCTTTTGGCGACAGGACAGGCCCACACAACGATAATTTGTAGGCACGCCAGCATTCCGCTTATCCCTGAGATCCTTCTTTTCATGTTTCGCCCATGAGCGAGCGAGCGAGCGGCGGCAGCATGAAATATTTAAGTGAATTTTATTTCTCGCAATTTATCTGCAACTAATGCGTACCAAGCCGTGGAAATCTGCTCATATATCAGGCATGTAGCAGCAGCCAACAGCTTGGGGCATTGGGCATAAACATGTTCTTTCCTCTTATTTGGCTACTTTTATTTCAATGGCAGCCCAGCAATTTATCAGTGGGACTTATTCGTACCGTCTGTCTGTCGTCTTTTTGCCTACGATACTTTAATTGTTGGGGCTATTAAAAAGTTGTTGCACCCCGCTTATGCGCCAAAGCTGTTGTCGCATTTAGAGAGGACATTCGCCCGGATATGACTGCAGGACACTAAGCTGTTCATCTATTTGCAGTTTCAGTTTGCAGTTTTGTTTTATGGCTGCCCCCCTCCACACTCTGCTCTGCTGTCTGCTGCCGCAAAACTATGGCCATAAAAATTCGCTTAGCCAACAGTTGCCAGCAAAAATATATAATACAAAATAATAACTTTTTCTCTCTTTCAGCCATGCTACGAGTACAGAAAGAGTGTCGCTTTTGTTTTGAGGATTCCTTCTACGAGTATGAGTTGTTTTTTTCCAAATTCATTATGTCAGTGTCTGAAGGAGCAATTGCCAAATGAAATCGAAGCATAGATGCTTTAAGGACCCTTTGCCGGGGAGGAGGGGGAAAAGGATTTCCCTCCGTTGGAAACAAAAACTTTCCATAACAATTGCGGACTGTTCCAATGTACTCTGTGCGCCCTAATTTGCTTATCAATTTAATCATCTTGATGACAAATCAATATGCCCATTTATTTATAGAGTATAGAACACACAGGACACAGGACAGAGGAGACACAGTCAGTGGACAAAGGACACAGTGAGAGGACAGAGGACAGTCGACTTCATGGCAACACAAAGCTATCTTGGCCAGGCAATCAGTAACAAATCCATAAGCATGACAGAGCCATAAAACTCTGGCAAGAGCCAAACCAAGCGGACTATGAGAGTCAGACACAAATAACCCAGGGTTCCGCCCTGCCCCCACACTGCCTCCTTCACTCTATCGTTTGGGTGAAGAGAGTGACCCGTCGTCGGACACAAATGAACCCTAAGTCAAGAGGGATTCCATGCCGTCTATTTAGCCGAAAGAAGCAAAAGGACAACTTTGATTTTTTGTTTTTTTTTTTGGTACCCTAACAATGAAAGGGGTATATGGGATTCTTTGGAGAGAAGTAAGAAAGTATTTTTGGGATATTTTCAGAGAATATATAATATGTATATTGTGGAACAATAACATAGTACTGATAAATCCTTTTTTATTGGAATTAGTCACTCCTGTTTTTAATTTATCTTTGTGCCGCATATACTTTACTTTCTTCTGCATAAACTACATATGTATATAAATTGCGACCCTCTGAAATCATAACACATATTGAATATTCTTCAATAATCCCTAAATCTGAATATATACTTAAAAAATAACAATGTCTAGGGTATCTAAAACCCCTTGCCCTTTTTATTGTGTTTCCCTTTTTTTTTTGACTATGATTTTTTCTGCCCTGGGGTTCATTGTCTTTATTACGATTATTCGCGGCCTTTCGCTGTCTGTCTGTTGCCTGAAAACTTGTGAATTGTTTTTGGGCAAACAAAAAAAACATAACAAGCCAATGAGGAAGGAACCCTCCTCGAACCACCAAGCCAGCCAGAGCTCCGCCTAAAACTTTTCAGCATTATTGTCCATTTATTGGGCACGACAGACCAAACAGAGGAGTACATCATGAAAACTCATTAGATGCCGCTCCAAACCTCATGCTGGGGTATTTTTTTACACAGCGAGAAGAGGGAAGCGCAGGAAGGGGTCTGGTTCGCGTGACCACCAGCGACGAGTGTTTAAATTAAAAGTGCTATGGAGTACGTAATTGGAAGCGGCCATTGGTTCGCTCTTTTTGGAATATGGTATGATAGTCCTATCCCTTCGGCAAATACTTACGTTGGCATACGGTCCCGTTGCGCTGTTATGGCCAAATACGTACATATAATTGCGCCGATTGACATCCGCATGGAACATTCCAGTCTGCAGCAGAGGCCCAACGACACGGGCATCGGACAGTATGTCCAGCACCACATCACGATGCTCCAAATTAGTGGCCTTAATCGGATTGTTGTACATGTCCTGGTATCTGCAAGAGAGAGGGAGAGAGAGAGAGATAGCATCATGAAACAAGTGGAGCATCATAGCTACGGCATACGTGGCGTATGCGTAATGTGCATTGTTAACATTCGGTGGCTCCTGGCTTGCGTGTGAGTGTTTCGAGTGTTCGAGAGTGTTTGTGTTTACTCGTGGAACGTAAAGCTTAATTACGCGGTTGGCTTTTGTGCCGGAGAGAGTCCACGCGGGTAGTCAGTGTGCCGCATGTGTCCTCACCCAACCACCGGACAACAATGAGCAACTAATGCAACCAAAGGAGGTTTTTCGCTGATTGGTATGTAATTTTATTGGAGATTTGTGGGGTCTTTGGAATAATTGAACGTTTTTCCCCAGTCGCTTCCTGTGTGTTACTGCCTTTGTTTTTCGACAGGCAGTTTCTGTGCGGTCTGTGAGTGGATTTTCATTTAAAATAACTTAAAGAGATCGATATAAAATTATGAGTATGGGTGTGGAATGGGTTACAAAAAGTTTCCAATGGCTAAACGTAGTAAAAAGATGTTAAACTAAAAATGTTATATTATGTTCCTTTACACACGGAAATATCATTTGGTATGTTTTTTGTCGGTACTCAAGCAGACGTACAGACAATTATGGCTACATGAACTCTGATATCAATGCTTATTAAGAATGTATATACTTTATGGGCACGGAAACACTTTCCTCTGACTGTTAAATACATTTAAACAAATTTAACACAGGATATCTTTGAAGTAGACAACAAAAAAAAATAAATAAAATATATTTTTTAAAATATAAGACATATACTTCTTTTTAAGCGTATTATACAGACTTTACCGAATTTTATAGCAATTTTTTACATTGATCAACTTTTTAATCCTCCCTTTCTCTACACGAAATTGTATTCCATGCAATCCAACATTTTCCACTCAGGTTTTCTGCCTTTTTCACATTGTGGATTCTCTCTATGGTTTCCCTTTAATAAATTTGTTTTTGCAACCAGTCCATGTGACACTCGACTGTTCCATTAGATATATCGACACGACACGACACTAGATGGGGCACGATATGGGGGGCACGATGATGTAGGGGTGAGTCCAGCTCAGCATGAAATTATTATGGCACAGCGGGAGCAACAGCCGCACATACAAAAACTGAAAGAGAGATCTCACTCTGGAGCTGGGGCTATGGCTGGGGCTTGTACATGTCAAGCACAACACTTGGCCTTTTGCTAGCAGCTGTTGAGGCAGGTACAGCATGAGGCATACAACACACAAACACACGCACAGAAACACAAACACACCACACAGATACACACCAATACATGTGTATTTCTATAAGAGGTACAAAATGTGTGGCAGGCAGGCAGTCAGGCCAGCGAATGTCTTGGCCTAATGTACAAATAAATAGAGCCATATTTTTCACATTTTCGTACGGGTTTTGTACTTAGTTTTCCTTTGGCTTTTTCCTTAACTGCCTGCCTGACTGCCTGGCTGGCTGGCTGGCTGGCTGACTGCCTGGACTGTCTGTTTGTGTTTTGTATGCCATGTTATGCATTTTATTGTCGGCTACTTAAGTTATGCACTTTGACCTCCATTCAGACAGCAGTCGAGAGAGAACCCCCCGCGGGCGAAACAGAGCGAAAGGAAAAAGGAGGGTCCAGAGCCACTTATGAATGGTATGGTACGAGCATGGGCCGCACAAGGTGAGGGGGGGCGTGGCTCAAAAGACGACGATGTTTTCTCGCATTTATTCTTCCACCGGTTCTGTTTCGCTGTTGCTGCTGCCCGACTTTTCTGCGTGTGTGCTTCTATGGAAGGCTTCCTTCTGTGATTTTGTGTTGCTTTTTGCAAGGATGTGTTGGTCTCCTTCTACGCCGGAGACACATGTTTGCATTTTGCAGAGCGGAATCGAAGCAGTGGCAACGCTTTATATTTATTTGCGGTTTCTATTATGTATATAATCTCACATATGCTGAACAGCCAGAGCCCGACGCTTCAAGCGTTTTGGCCCTCGCTGCGGAAATACCTCAAGTTGAATGCAGATAAAAACCCAAAGAGATCTGATGCTCAGACAGATTTTCTCGCCCTTTAAAGCTTGGCAGAGATTACCATTTTTGATCTGCTTTAAATTTGTTGCCACAATGCCATTAATACGCGCATAATCCGCATTGAATTCACTCTGGGGTTGCTCTGGGAATACACATAATTAATTAAAAATGCATGGGAAAAACCGAATTAACATTCATGGATTCGTGGAACAACTTTTCAGTTGTCCATCAAACATGCGACTGGCGATTCGGCGACAAATATAATTTGGAAATTGCGTGAATTCCTGAAAGAGAGACAGAGAGAGAGAAAAGCAAACAGAGCAGAGCCGTCCAGACCGGCGACCATCACAAATGCTTAATTAAAAGTTTGTCCGAAAATTCGCAAGGGGGCGGCTTAATAACATTTCAGAATCTCATGGGAAATTCTGATTTCAAATGCACCACACAGACAACAGACAGACAGACAGACAGACATACAGACTGACAAACAAAACAATAAGTGGCATGGAAAACAAACTCTAATTAAATAAATATGTATGCATGTACGGGTAAGGGTATGGCATGAATTTTAGGTATACGCACCGCAAAACGCAGCCACAAAAGAGGGCCACCAAAAACACATACGTTGGAAAACACTCGGAAAAACTAACCGCAAAAATACTCGAAATACACGCAAACAAAACACTCATGAATGGCCCCTCAACCGAAAAATATGCACAACAAAAACACTCGGTAGCAGTGACAGAGAAAACCGAGAAGCAAAAGCAACAGCAGAACAAAGAAAAAGGGGAAAAGCGAACAAAAGCAGACACCGTTATTTGCTTTTGGGGGGCCAGAGCCACGCCCATTACCACACAGGCAGGCACACACCTTGAGAGGAGCAAGCAGCGGCGTTCAAAGCAATGACCATTCAGAGAGCGAGAGAGCCCAAGCCCATGACAACCCACAGAAGTGTGATCAAATCTAGCAGGAAAGTGCTACCTGAAGGGAACACTGTTTAACAGGAGTGGGGAATATGTAGAGTGCAGGAAAAAATATATATACAAAATAAAATAAAACAAATATATATCCGTGGATCAACAGTCTACAAAAATTATTAAAATTTATCAACATATTTCCTATAGTTTTTTTTTATTCCTGTACCATAATTAACTACTAATTGATATCATTGCGAGTGCATCCTGAGTAAGCACCCTTCAGTCAAACCCCTCTACCCCCTGTGAAGATCTCCCTGTTAAGCCACTCGAAAGTGTTTAGTGTTTAGTCTTTTCCTTAATTTACTGGTTGTTCAGTGTTTAGGGGAGGTTTCAGGAAATCCGTTGCTCCTTTCTGGAGCGTGAAGAACAACACTCACATTTAATTTCCGAAGAGCGTATGTGACACTTTAAATATTTCCGCACTCAAACAAACACTTTTGCCACTAGAGAGAGAGAGCGAGAGCAAGAGCATACACAGGACACAGCCACAGACAGAGACTCTGACTCCGATGCAGATACAGATACGACCAACACTACGGATACGGATGTGTGTTCCTCTGTCTGGCTGCCACACTTGGGTAAACAGCATTTTCTAGTGCCCTAGATATTTGGCAGCTGCTGCTGCTGCTGCTCCTGCTGCATGGATGTAGGGGCCATGGAGTCGAGAGTCTGTAATGAATTTGTTGAGGAGTTTTGCTAATGAAGTACGAAATGGTGGAGACGACTTTCAAGACTGCAATTTTCAGCTTCAAATTGCATTAAAGTTGAATTTGGCACACAAATTGAGGATATGCTTCTAATGACAGTTTTCTCTCTCTCTGCCACACGAGTTGAGACCTCAAATTGGTGGTCAAATATTTTTGCATTTTATTTAGCATTCAGTTGGGTAGTTTTCTTCATTAAAATAAAAGTGTAATCAAAAAGAACTAATCTTATTTAATGTTTAGAAAATGGAAATGAATGATTTTAAAGGTATATTAAAGTTTTTTCGCCCTTAAACTAAAGGGTTGCTCTCAGGGGCTCCACCACCTATTCCCAGTCAACCTTAAATATGCAAACATCATTAGGGACACACACACACACAAACACAGATACTCTCTCGCTGTGGTTTAAATCAAAGTCTGGCCAGCTGGCAGTAGTACGAGAGAGGGAAAAACGAGTAAAATCAAATCGATTTAATCACCCAAAACTCTCGCGCAGCAACATCTGATATGCCACACAGACAACAAGCAAAGCAAAGCCAAAGCACAGCCAAAGCTAAAGCGAAACGAGAGTAGTCCTGGATACGGAACACTAACTGGCGTTAATGCCTCACGAGTAGTGGCACGTCTGTTGGGGTTCATGAACCCCAACACACTCGAATTGTCAGGGGGCGATATATACGAACAGGAGTTGAACACATCAAGTGTCTCTGTCTCTGTCGCTGTTGCTGCTATTCTCTCTGTCTCTGCGTGAAGCGACTCCAAGAGGCAAGCTCACACTAGCAAGAGATACACATGACACTCCACGCGTATCTGAGCCCCTAATGAGAGCTAATACGCTTTCCTCCAATGCACTTCGTTGACATGGTAATTGTTGAGATATTTAACAATTTATGGCCACGCAGATTTTTAATTATTTATTGTTACGATCGACGCGGTTTGGTGCTGGCTTACAAAACCCCCTCCACGCCACATTTTTTTGGCTTTTATGGTCAGTGCTTTGCGGCATACAATATTCATGTAATATATTGCGTATACGCACCCTTGCACACGCCCAAGCTGTTTAGCCTCTAAATTGCTATGCCGCATGCTGTGGCCGCTTTGTGTGTTGCCCACTCTCTGGGTGTGTGTGTGTGTGTGAGTGTTTGAGTGTGTGGGTGTGTTATGTGTGGCAGGCACAGGCAAACGATTATGAATAACTGCAGCTGCAACGCACAGGATCTGGTTGGAATGCAAACACCATTTCCAAGAGCGTGGCAGCGGTGTAGCAAGCAGCAGCACATAT